GAACTAAAGAGCCTCTTGATGCGGGTGAAGAAGGAGAGTGCAAAAGTTGGCTTGAAACTCAACATTAAGAAAACCAAAATCATGGCATCCGGCCCTCTCAATTCCTGGCAAATAGATGGGGAAGAAATGGAGGTAGTGACAGATTTTATTTTTCTGGGCTCCAAGATCACCTCAGATGGAGACTGCAGCCAAGAAATTAAAAGACGCTTGCTCCTGGGGAGGAAAGCTATGGCAAATCTAGACAGCATTCTAAAAAGCAGAGACATCACCCTGCCAACAAAAGTGCGCATAGTCCAGGCCATGATTTTCCCAGTTGCAATGTATGGCTGTGAAAGTTGGACCATAAGAAAGGCTGAGCGCAAAAGAATTGAGGCCTTTGAACTGTGGTGCTGGAGAAGACTCCTGCGAGTCCCTTGGACTGCAAGGCGTTCAAACCGGTCGGTCCTAGAAGAGATCAACCCCGACTGCTCTTTAGAAGGCCAGATCCTGAAGTTGAAACTCAAGTACTTTGGCCACCTAATGAGAAGGAAGGATTCACTGGAGAAGAGCCTAATGCTGGGAAAGATTGAGGGCAATAGAAGAAGGGGAGGACAGAGAATGAGATGGCTGGATGGAGTCACTGAAGCAGTAGGTGTGAATTTAAATGGACTCCAGAAGATGGTAGAGGACAGGAAGACCTGGAGGAATGTTGTCCATGGGGTCGCGATGGGTCGGACACGACTTCGCAATTAACAACAACAACAACAAGTTGGTTTTTCAGATTGCCTCTCAAATAAACAGACAAAGATATAAAAAATCTGCGTGTCTTACCTTAGACAAGAACTATAGTACAGTCTAAAGTAAGATATGCAGATTTAATGTTGCACAAATCATAACTTTTTAATCTAGTACAGGTAGTCCTCGACTTACAACAGTTCAAGTAGTAACCATTCAAAGTTACAACAGTGAAAAAAGCGACTTATGGCCATTTTTCACACTTATGACCATTGCAGCATCCCCATGGTCACGTGATTTATATTTGGATGGTTGACAACTGGTTTGTATTTATGACGGTTGCAGTGTCCTGGGGTCATGTGACCATTTTTGAGACCTTCTGACAAGCAAAGTCAATGGGGAAGCCAGATTCACTTAACAACCGTGTTACTAATTTAACAACTGCAGTGATTCACTTAACAAATGTGACCCAGAGAAACAGCATAGTCTAGTGCGGATGTATACATATACATGGCGAGAAAAATGAATCTTGCAAGGTTACCAGACAAATGGCACAGGGAACAAAGCTATTACAGAATCTGATATCCTACTAGAAATACTTTGAAACTTCCCCCCCAGAAGGGAACAACAGAAACAGACCGTGAAGTGGGTGTGTGGGGTCTAACAATGCGTTGAGCTCTAAGCACATGGCGCTTATAAGCAGCATCCTGAATAACTGGAAGTGGGCTTCCTATAATCTTCTCAGCTGTCCTTACCACTCTCTGTATGGACTTTCTGTCTGAGGCACTGCTACCATCAAACCAAACCATAATGCAGTTTGTTAAGACGGTCTTAATCGTACTTCTGTAAAAAGTGGCCAGGACAGAAGGAGAAAGATGGGCTCTCCTCATCTGATGCAGGAAATGCAGATGCTGGTTTGCACACTTCACTAAGGATGACGTGGGGAGAGACCAAGTCAGCTTGTCTTCAGAAATTGTGTGCACTCCATCACTGGAGATTTTTAAGAAGAGGCTAGACAGTCACTTGTCTGAGATGGCATAGGTCCTCCTGCCTGAGCAGGGGGCTGGACTGGAAGATCTCCAAGGCCCCTTCCAGCTCTATTCTATTCTTTTTGATAGAAGCTCTGCTCATTTTTATGTGGGTCTGCACTCTGCAGATAACCCTGAATGAGATTGTTGCAGAAAGTATACCTAATTGATTACATCATCATAATTTCTCTCAGTGGTCCTAGAGAAACACCATGTTGCAATGATATATTTATATCCAGAGTCCACTTAGAACAGGCAATAGGAAAGCCAAGATGTGGTATTATGGGTTTTCTGAACTGCAACTAATAAGCCGAATCAAGGAGCTGTTCAGTGTGCTAATTCTGCTCCAGGAAAATGATCACCCCATGCAGTTCGGTTTCAATAACAATCAAAAGGTAGGCAAAATTTACATATGGATGTGAAAGTTTGCATTCTTGGATGGGGAACAGATCCATGTGCAGTTGTCATTAGGTACAAACAGCATTAACAATTCAAATGCATAGCCAAGTACCATTGCAATAAAATAGGCAATGTGATGTAGCTGTGTGTTTTGGGCAGGTAAAGTGATAAAAATGGATCCCAAATTAAGTCTGACTGTATGTCAGATGGCATTCTTGGGCCTGTATGCATTTAAAAGAAGTGCACAACAGGTGCCATGATCTAGTCTTAAAACGTTAATAAGGATTGGACATGATCCAGGACACCACCTAGAAAGCTGGGACTGCAGGGCACAATGGACTATATGCCAAAGAAAGCTATGGATTGAAGTCCAGAGAGACATTTCACCCTCATTTTTTTTAATTTGAAAGAAAGTATATCCATATGCATTTGAATGTAATTTTTCATACCAAATTATCAAATGGTTTCAAGGAAACCACTAATATTAGCCTTATGCTTAGTTGATCCTTGTAGCTACATCTGGTCCCACTATTGCAGGTTGCATACTAGTGCCTTTATAGTCATAGCCTTTCAGATTTAAAGCCTTCAAACCTACCATTTTAATAGCAATATTCATTTGCATTCCTTCAATGTACTCTTATAAAAAATCTCCTGGTTTTATTTTGATATAATTAAAGTAATTTAAATTTTTAATAATTTAAATATTTTAAAATATTTCTGGCAATCATATGCTGTAGCAAATGGTAGAGATGTGTTTTAATAAAACAGAAAAGAAAGAACATTGACAAAAAGATGAAGCAAATAATACTTTGCTTTGATGAGGTAGCTTCATTAATCCCATTGCTCCCACTCCCAAAATATGTGAAGTAAGCAGGGGGTTGAATAAGAAAATTATACTTAAGTTGCAAAATTCATATGCTTAAGTTGCAAAATTCTTAGGCCTATTGGTATCTTGCAATTTTTTTAAAAAGAATCTATCTATCTATCTATCTATCTATCTATCTATCTATCTATCTATCTATCTATCTATCTATCTATCTATCTATCTATCTATATTTTTCATTTCTATGCCACCCATTTCACTAATAAAGCAACTCTGGTAATGATTATACTGTATTGATGGTTCCTTGACAAAGAGCAGAATATAAGACACAGTTTAAAAAAGCAAGTCTTCTTTAAATAACCTGTCAGAAATCATTATTTTCAGAGTAAAGAGACCAGAAACAAGACCCACGTGTTGGATTCCAAGTAGAAAAAAAAATAAATACTAAATTGGGATTGTGTCAAAACAGGAAGGGATTGATTGATTGACTGTATGCCCTTCAATTTTCAAGACCATTAAACTATAAATGGCTGAAAGAGTTTGTATGTCCTATAAAGGTCACAGAACATTTTTCTTATGCACTAAGAAAATTGATATTTCAAAATCTCTTGGAATTACAGGTGAGGTTAAAGCACAATTTCTGATCATAATTTAGGTTCATGGGTCACAGTTTCTGACAGATTAAAAATTACATTAGATAAACAAATTGCCACCAGAATTAAGCAATATTTTAAATAGTGGCTCTATGTATTTACATTTGTGATCTGTACAGCTATTAACTTCATAAATTAAGTCAAATTTAGAGAGAATCTTGGGTGGCTATAAAGTACAAAGGTTAAACTCACTATGCATTTATACCAAGACATTTGTATATCATTTGGAATTATCCTAGATGATTTTCAAAGAAGTATACTAGGATGAATCATTAAAAATGAACAATTAAAATGCTAAAACCTGCAGATTCAAATTAAAACAATTAAAAATATATATAAAGCGATGTAATTATTTGCTACAACAGCCATAGTTATAGTTTCCTTTTCCCTTCATTGCAAATATAGTCACTTAAGTCCTCTTGACTGGCCAGTCTCTTACCTGTTCAGCGGAAGCCTAGTTCAGTGCTCTATCTCATGGGATATCTCCCTTAAAAGGTGAAATTAAGTCCTCTTTGAGGCAGGATGATTGAATGGAAGACAATTCAGGCTTTAAAATTTCTCCATAAAATCTATGGCCCTAATTAAGTTAGAGAGTGGGAATGGTTTAAGAACCTATTTGAGAAATAGGCAAAATATTGCCAGTGGTTGCCTTCATTAGAAGTACAACAATACTTAGTTATAAAAGAAAGAGGCCAGTCTTCAATACAGACCATATCAAATAGATAACAATGCTGCGTCGAATAAAACTCAACAGGGCAGGTAATATGTCAATCCCAGGTCTTCCACAAGATAAAACAGTAACATTTCTCCAGTTTAATCCATGGGACATTCAAGGACTAATCTGTAGAGAAGAATTCCCTTAACTTCCAAAAGCTTCTTCTTCTATCAGCCTAAGAAAGTTGGATATAATTAAGGATTGCATCATGGGGATCGCTTTGAGGAAAATATTCAGAAACCATTTAAAAAAATGGCAGAAGCGTTCCTTAAGACTTGGGAAAAGAGGTAATGTTAGAAAGAGATCAGGCTGGGTCCTCCATTGATTCAGTACAGTATAAGAAGGAGGAGAGGAAAAACACACTCAGACTTGCAAAATACTGTCAATATAATCCCAATAAAACTGACTTTTAGTTGTCTTTTGCAGTCTGTTTCCTAATTTGGATAACCTTGAAGAGCTGAAGCTTATCCACCTCTTAACAAAAAAGCATTAGTGCATTTTAATTCAACAATGTCTCTATTCCAGGAAGGCCACTATTGTTTCTCTACTTTAATGTCCTCATATCACATTTCTATTTTCTTTAATTTATTATCCCACAAGTGGGAGGATTTGTAAAAACTGTCAATTATACACACACTCTCTCTCTCCATTCAGAACAAATGACTTACAAGCGGTGTGTCCTTTCCTCCTACAATGCTGAGTCCCAGACCTGATCGTCCTTTGGATATTTCAATAGTCATTTCTTGGCCAGGAACAATTGAGCACATTGCTGGATCTACTGGAGGAGGTGAAAAGTTGTCTACAGCAAAAAATAAAAAATATTACTCCATACAATTGGAAGAGTTGTGTAAACACACTGCAGAGGAATATGTTAGAGTGTCTTAATGGATCTGATTAAAGAAACACGACTCTTGTAAAAACTTAAGTTTGTTTAAGTAAGTAAGTATTGAATTAATGAAGGAAGGAAGGAAGGGAGGGAGGGAGGGAGGAAGGAAGGAAGGAAGGAAGGAAGGAAGGAAGGAAGGAAGGAAGGAAGGAAGGAAGGAAGGAAGGAAGACAGTTGAAGTACAACAGGGACATTTTTATAAATAATATTGTATTGAAATGGTTGTTTCCAAAAAGAGAATCCACTGAAATGAAGGAAAATAATTTCAGCTGAGCAGCAATTGTTCCCTTGCAATACAGTTTCATGATTTATCTTCTAGGCAATAGGTTCTGTTATTACTATGCCACTAAATGCAGAATAAGCACTTGCTATTTAAAATCCATTTTGTTGCTAAGAGAGATTTCCCCCCCCTCTCCATATTAATTTGTTTATATAAGGCATACACAAAGAATTCAGTTTTTCAGTTCTTAACACTCTCCATCCATTTTTATTTTAAAATCCAAAAGTATAAAAACACATGTCACGTGTTGAGGTGACAATTTTAATTAAACGCAAAGTAGAAGGCGACATTAAAGGAAACATCATTTTAAAAAATGCTTGCATTTCTATGAAAATAAACAGGACATGCTCAGTGTTGCAATAATTCAAATGATACTTTAAACAATAGTTAAATCCCTTTAGACATTTACCTCAGTTAAACTATATATTTTTTAAAAAATAAAAAGCAGTTATTACCACCCTAAATTCTGAGGATTAACGCAAAGTACTTCTTCAGATGGAAATAACAGGTTCATACTTCGGTTGCTGAATTCTGTCTCTGGAGGATAAGATGATTCGGGGGCCAAAGAAATCTCATGTAAATTGATGGGGATGGGGTTCACTGTGGAAGACTTTGTTTGCTTTAACTGGTTTTGAAGCTGGGAGAGGCAAAACAAAAAATTAAATAATGTTTAACCTCCTATGAAATTCTAAACAAAAAGTTAAACTACTGTGCAGGTAATATTTACATGAATCAAGAATGGAGAATGAACAGTTCTAGTTATCTGTCTACTTTTGGAACATCAATTTCACATATTTCTACATGAATATATGAAGAAAATATTTAAAGGTAAACTAACAAAAAGCTGTAAGAAGCATTCATGTTTTGGGCTATTTTATGTGTCTCCTTCAATTGTCAATATGTAAAATTAAACTGAAACAATGACTAATAAATAAAATCACTTCTTTTTTCATTTAAACAATAGAATTAAAATACCCACATTTTCTGGAGGCTGGTCTGCCTTAACTTGCTGGTCTTCAATTGCCTGTTTTTCAGCTTTGCTGCTGATATCCTAATCAATATGGATACATAAATTGTAAAATATTAGCTTATGGTACATTGTGGTACATTATGAACATTTGCAGTTGCCATGGTGCTGCTTCTGTTGAGGAAACAAGCTGATATTTAGTTTTCAGTCCAGAAGCAAGTACTCATTGCCACAGTCCTGTGACTAAGAATTTATAAATCTTTACCTGCAGCATTCTCTAAGATAAATATAAAAAGTAAAACTTTTTATCTCACTTATTTGCCTTGGCTAAAGTATGAATCTAATCCATTTTACCTTTATTTGTTTGAATGTAACTTGTGCATTTGAATATATCAATCAATCAATCAATCAATCAATCAATGTGATTGAAGTGTTACCATGTTTGACATCTCAAATTTGTTTGTCCATTTGGAAAGAATCTTAAAAGTATAGTACTTATTTTGAGAACTTTAACGATCGCATGATTAGAAGCTAGTCTAATGAATATCATCACATATTATCACTTAAATATGAGCCACCCACTTAAATATGAGCCAGCAGTGTACTGCAGCTGCCAAAAAAGCAAACACAGTTCTAGGCTGCATTAATAGAGGGATAGAATCAAGATCATGTGAACTGTTAATACCACTTTACAAAGCCTTGGTAAGGCCACACTTGGAATACTGCATACAGTTTTGGTCACCACGACGTAAAAAAGACGTTGAGACTCTAAAAAGAGTACAGAGAAGAGCAACAAAGATAATAAGGGAACTGGAGGCTAAAACATATAAGGAAAGGCTGCTGGAATTGGGTATGTCTAGTTTAATGAAGAGAAGGACGAGGGGTGACATGATATTAGTGTTCCAATATCTGAGGGGTGCCACAAAGAAAAAGGAGTTAAGCTATTATCCAAAGCCCCTGAAGGCAGGACAAGAAGCAACGGATGGAAACTAACCAAAGAGAGAAGCAACCTAGAACTAAGGGGAAATTTTCTGACAGTTTAGAACAGGGGTGTCAAACTGCCGCCCTGCAGGCAGATGCGTCATGGCGAAACCACGCCCACCCCAGCTCCAGCAATGGGGAAAAAAGTCGCGATATGTTGCAACATGTCATGTGACATGGCGAGTTTGACACCCCTAGTTTAAAACAATTAATCAGTGAAACAATCTGCCTCCAGAAGCTGTGAATGCTCCAACACTGGAAGTTTTTAAATGGACAGCCATTTGTCTGAAATGGTATAGGGTTTGCTGCCTGAGCAGGGTTGGACTAGTTGACCTCCAAGGTCCCTTCCAACGTTGTTGTTGTTGTTATTATTACTATTATTATTATTAAACAGTATAATTATAACAACTACATTACTATTTCTACTTGACATGGAAAAATGAAGGATTAATTTTAATGGCTATTGTTAGCCAAGTAAAACCCTGATTCCATATTAATACTGTCAGTATTACTGTTTAACATTTTCCTCTTTTGACGTACTGAATATCACCACATGTACTATCTTAATGTGAGCATTAATGTAAGCAGGGATATTTTACTGAAAGTTTCCCACCCTATATGTTATAGTTCCCATTTAAAAACTTCACTTCCACATCTGATAGCATTATATTTTTAGAAATCTAGGTGTAGTGCTCAATCACATTTTAAAAGCAGAGTCTGATTTGACCCCTACAGATGTACTTTAGAGATATACTACAGATGTACTTTAGAGATATACTCAGATATACGCAGGCAGGCAGGCATGCAATCAATCATTCTTTTTCCTTCAATTATTGAAACATTTTTTTTATAAGCAATGTATACTTCGATAAATGCAGTGGAAAATAATTCTCTTTTCTGCAGTCACTTCATAACTTTCTCTTTGTACATATATGTCTCTGTTGGGTTATTCATAAGTGCTACACAAATCCAGGAAGACATCCTGTTTTAAGTAACGCAAAGAGATGGCACATTCATTCACTAGGAGCAAGGTTCAGGGATGAATTAAAAGAATTTTTAAGTCATATCAGGCTTACTGATTATAATCCATTTCTGTTCATACTTGTTGAGATGAATAATAATGTGAACAACTTATCACCAAGGACTATGGAAATCTCAAGAGGAAGTTGAAGATCCTAGAGATGTAGGCGGCATTTCTGTTCATTTTTCAAAGAAGGCTGCTGACAGTTTGTACATTTAATGTTGAGAGTGATTTAGTTTCTATCAGCCTCAAACTTTAGTCCTGTTTTTTCACCCTGCTCTTTGTACATTAGAGTGTGTTTGTATGTGTGTATTCTTGCATGCATGCCTTCAAGTCAGTTTTGATTCTGAGTGACAACATGGACAAGTTCCTGAAGTTCTCTTAGCAAGATTTCAGAAATAGTATGCTATTACCTCTTCTCTAGGGCTGAGAGAAAGTGATTGGCCCAAGATTACTTAGCTGGCTTTGTGAAGGAGAATTCAGTCTCCAAAACTAGCTCTTGAATTATTTTAAATTTCCGGCACTAGATGAATTGCACTCTAGGGCTACTGAAGGAAGTACCTGGTAATCTGGCTGAACCTTACATATTACCTCAGAGAAACCCTAGTGAATTGGTGAAATGCTAAGACAACTGGAAAAAGTTATCCTTGTCCTCACAAAGAGGAGAAAGAAGAATCTAGGAAACAGAAGTATAGCTTCTAAAGTTTTTTAAAAAAACATTGTTCTTTGCTTTGGTAAGACTTTTCTTATAGTACTTTGTCCAATTTTGGCATCCTCCAGGGCATCCTTAAAGATTTAGAGGAATTGTAACCAGTTCAGAGAAGGGAGACACAAATGATTATGGCAATAGAAATTAAGTGCTAGGAACAGGAAAATTATAACAGTTTTCACAATATGCTTCTCTCATTCCAGAGCATGGGATACACAATAATGAATTGAAGTTACAGGAATATATTCCTGTATATATTCCTTGCAGTCATCTGGTCATTAGCATTCATTCTGAGAGTCATTGAGGCCACTTGGATGTTTATCTGCTTTCTCTGTGTGGATTGTGTAGTAAATAGGAGATAGGTGGGGTAGTATCCCTCCCCCTTTGTTGAGAGAGGGCTGTTCAATCTTTATGTAGCAGGCCTCTTTGACCACTCTTTCAAATCAGTGCTCCTCTCTGTCCAGAATGTGGACTTTGCTGTCTTCAAAAGAGTGATTTTTGTCTTTCAAAGGCAGATGGCCTGCTGAATGTTGTCCTGACTGGTTTGTTCCCCTATGTTTCTGCCATGCGTTTATGAAGTGATTGTTTTCTTCCTCCATTGTACAGATCTGTACATATCTCACTGCATTGTATTGCATATATCACATTGCTCAGTTTGTGTCCGGGTGTTTTACCCTTCTAGGTAGGATTCCAAGTATGAGGAGACTTTAGATAATGTGCTCAGAGATAGTTTCAGGCAGAATCCAGAGAGTGCTGTCAATGCTTTCAGCCACCTTCATCCATTTTGCTGCCACTGCTCTGTCTTTTGTCATCTTCCCCCACGACCACATCGCACAGTTGCTTTTTTTCTTGGCTCCTTCCTCACTGTTTGCACTGCTGCTCTGCTTTTTTTTTTTTTTTTTCATCTTCTCTGCCTGCTGGCATGAACGAATGCACTGTCAGAGCCAGCTAGTAGCTTTCTCCAGCTGCCAACAGAAAAGCTGCAGTTTTGCACATATTTTTGCTTCTTTAAACTGTGATTACTGGTTAAATAGCAAAAGAACATCAGATCCAATAGAACACTATAGTCTTCTGTAATGCATGATATCAGAGAATTGTACTTGGCATAGAAACTGACTTTAAGAAGCCCCAGGTTCAGCTCAGTCTGGATAAGGCAGCAGCTATAGTTTCATGCAGGTAGTCCTTGAGTTACAACCACTCAAAGTTATGATGATGCTAGACAAGGGGGACTTATGACTGGTCCTTGGAGTTATGGACATTGCAGCTTCCCTGCAATCATGTGCTTATAGTCTGGGTGCTCAGTACCAAACTCATGATGACAAAATCACAGCAAGTTGTTGTCACATGATCAGGATTTCTGACTTTTTCTGCTGGCTTCCCATAAGCCAAGTCGATGGGGAAGTTGGCAGGAGGCCACAAATTGCTTCTTCTACTGCTCCTTTTTCATCTACCTGTAGTTTATAGTGCCTTGCCACAGCACTCCCCTGCCATCCATGGCAACTGCCTGGCCACAGCTATCACCTGCCAGTCTGCTTACCTGGGATTCCTGCTTCTTCCTGAATGACCTACACTAGTAGTGGCGAACCTATGGCACGCGTGCCAGAGGCAGCACTCAAAGCCCTCTCTGTGGGCACGCGCCATTGCCCCAGCAGAGTTCACTAGAGTAGCAAGCACATGGCGTTTGGAAGCGACAGGGCAGGAAGTGAGCAAGCAAGCGCTGTTGGGCCTGGGGATGCCCCAGAAATGGCAAGGGACTGGCCCCCATTGCCCTGGCCCAGCCACACTCACCCAGTCTGCCAGGAGCAGTGCAGCCATGCCCATCCAGTGGGCCATGCCCCCCCCCTGAGGGCACCACAATGCTGATGCATTCCTGGCACTTTGCGATAAATAAGTGGGTTTTGGATTGCAGTTTGGGCACTCGGTCTCTAAAAGGTTCGCCATCACTGACCTACACAGTCCTGGAGTTATAATGGCAACTGGGACTGCCATCACTAAATGATATGATCCCATGATGTTGTGCTTTACAACCACATCACTTAGTGACAGATTTTCCAGTTCCAGTTGTGGTCATAACCCAAAGACTACCTGAATTTAAAAGGTATCCAGTTCTTATTAATTATACAATGTGGAATAACTTCACAAAAAGTTGGACCATATTTGGCAATGAAGTTATTTTTGTGAATGTACATAACCTAGTCATACCAATTTTGAATATTTATATTGCATGCTATTATTATTTATCATTATTAACATTTATTATGGCTGCCCACTCCAGAAGATTCTGGGTAGTTTACTATCTGTCTGTCTGCCTCCTTTCTAAGACTGAGGAAAAGTACATTTTAACTCCAAACAAAACTTTGCCTAAATATCAGTTTTAAGATATTTCTACTATCAAATGAAATAATTTGGACTTACTTTTCATGGACAATATAATATCACAAATGCAAGTTTTCTGTCCAATTCATCTCTGTTTTTAATAGCTCTTAACTTACATTGTGGAAATGTTTGCTCATTGATTACACCACTTAGTAACTGTTCTTCCTGTAGCCAAAGGATATTTCTAATGCTCACTGTTAGGATTTAATTATATACATGTTGTGATTATATAAAGCTAATTATGATTAATTGTTCCCATTTATAATACGTTGGAAAGCATTCTTACCTCATTGGAAGACTGCGTGCAAGAGGGTAATGGAAAAGGAGCTACAGCCATCTGGTTAAATGCATCCTCATTGCTAACAGTCAAGAGAAAAATAATTGATTAGTCAAACTAAAAGGACAATTCACATTCAATCTCCCTCCCTCCTCTCTGGTGAGTTATAGTTGTTTATCATATTTGCAACCTCTTTTCCTCTGTGATTCACAAAAGGGTTTTAGGTCCCTCATTTCAAAATACTTAACCAAATTGAGATTGCTACATCATCTGCTTTTAATACTTGCCCCCAAAACAACAAAAAAAACCCACCACCCCGTTTATTTACATTTGTGATCTATACAGCTATTAACTTCATAAATTAAATCAAAGCAAAGCAAAATTAACAATATATTTCCAGCAAGAAATGGACCAGGTAATTAGGATGCTGGATAGATATGTACCATTATTTGGAGAAACGTAGCTCATTTACATATGTTCAGTTGCAGACAGTTAACATAAGACGCTTATGAAAAAACAAGGACTATTTCCCAAAGGATGATGAGGCTGAGCAGAACAATCCTATTTCAAAACGGCTTCCTCTATGGATTACCAGATAAGGAGTTGGAAAAAAGATCTGGAATTTTGTTATGTTGACTGCAGTGAGAATTTTATACGCCCGGAAATGGAAAGATATTCCAGTTTCCACCATAGAAAAAATGGATGGGAAAAGAAAAGTGATGGAGGTAAAAGAAATGGCAAAACTGATTGCTTTAATCAGAGAAAAGGTTTGTTTCTTCTTGGGAACTGCTTCTGGACATTGTGCTTAAGGTAGAAAACAAACTCTTGACATTGGGTTTTGCTGATTTGTTATTATATAAATGGCCAGTATTTGTTAAGTTGGTAAAGTAAAAAAGTTGACACTGAAATTTTATTCTGTATTTTACTGTGCTGAAAACAGTTGGAAGTTGATGTTTATTTCTTTCTCACTGTATCTATACCTTTCTTCTCCCCCTTCCCATTTTCCTACGATATTTATTTTCATTTGTATTTTCTATTATGAAAATTTTAATAACATTATTCTAAGTGCCCTGTTTGTAGTTGAAATAATCTGATCAGTTCCAATAGCATTTTCATTATTGCTCCGTGCTGTAGTAATTAAACGACGGTACATATTTTAATCAAATTTGTATTACGCTTATCATTTCAGTGTGAATGCTGTATTCAATGCTGGACTTTCAAAAATATGTTTTATTATTATTGTACCAGTACAGGTAATCCTCAACTTATAACCATTCATTTAGTGATTGTTCAAAGTTGCAACGGGACTGAAAAAAGTGACTTATGATTGTTTTTCAAATTTATGACTGTTGCAGCATCCCCGTGGTCATGTGATCAAAATTTTTATGCTAGGCAACCTATAGTATTTATAATGGTTACAGAGTCCCAGCATCATAGAAGCACCTTTTGTAACCTTCTGACGAACAAAGTCAATGGGGGAAGCGAGATTCACTTAACAACCGTGTTACTAAGTTAACAACTGCAGTAATTCACTTAACAACAGTGGCAAGAAAGCTCGTAAAATAGGGGCAAAACTCACTTAACAAATGCCTCACTTAGCAACAGAAATGTTGGGTCCAATTGTGGTTGTAATTCGAGGACTACCTGTATAGGAAAAATAGCACTCCCATGTTTATGACTAGGAATGAAGGTGAGCTATGATTTCTGGATAATTCAGACAAAGATATTGAAATCTACTAGATAAAAGCAGTTAGGAGAAAAACACCTTAAAATTTCCCCAAAAGTACTATGTTGAGAATTTCCCAGAACTCGTATAGTTCTTAAGAATGTGGAATGAAAGAAAGCGAGAAAAAAGTATAAGGGGATAAATTGACTTGTTTTATTGCTTAGCTATATAAATCATATTATGGTTCTCTGCAGGGCTTTTTTTTTTCTCATAGAACATCCAGAACGGAGTTCCGGCACCTTTTTTGGATGGAACCTTGTAGGGTAGGCAAGGCGGGTTGTATGACGTGTGTGAGTTCTGGCACTTTTTTTTTTTAGAAAAAAAGCACTGGTTCTCTGAGTGGATTAGAATTTGCCTGGATAAAATAACAACCGACAGGAAGTCCTTTTAGTAATAATGAATGTAAAACAGATTTTAAAAATGTTCATGCCATTCTGCACCAATGCATTTTTAAAGAAATCCAATATTGCTAAGTAATATAATCAAATCTGTGCAGAATGTTGTTAAGTAGTTAGCCCAATTCACCTCACAGGGTTGTTGTTGTGGGGGAAACAGAGGAGGAAGGAGTGTCGGATAGGTTCACTGCCTTGAATTATTTGTAAAAATAGTAAAAGTGTTTTGCAGGCTCAAGTCGCTACTACTGCAACTATTTCTATATATTTTTTTTGCTGACAAAGAACTAAAGGGAGACTAGTATAGCTATTTCGAGCTATTTAGCTCTCATCAGCTAGCCATACCCTTCTGAGATTTGAACCTGAGCTGCTTGCATGTTAGGCAGCTGTATTAACCTCTAGGCTGAAACCTCTGGTTTCAGCTGACAGAAGCAAAGAGAACCTGTGGCCTAGAGGTTAATACAATATCTATCTATCTATCTATCTATCTATCTATCTATCTATCTATCTATCTATCTATCTATCTATCTAGGTCTTTGGTTATTCAGGTTTTCTCCTTCCAAATGGCTGGTAGGCAGGAGGTATCATCTCATTTGTTCATGCTGTGTCGGTGTTTTTCTATCTCGATGGCTTCTCTGATTATTCTGTTATTAAAATGTTCAGTTTTGGCGATAGGTCTGGTATTTTTAAAGTCAATTTCATGTCCTGTGGCTTTAAGGTGTTACCAGAACTATTGCCAAAACTGAACATTTTAATAACAGAATATTATTAATAATATTATTAATAATATTGGCACAGCCAACCCCCCAGCCAATCAGAGCACAGCCAAGCCCCTAACCAATCAGAACACACCTCCACCCAATCAGAACACAGCCAAGCTCCCACCCAATCAGTTCATACCCCCACTGGCAGTTAAAAGGAAGAAACAGCTAAGACCACACATTGCTCCTCGAAGCACGAAGCTGAAAACACCAGCCGGAAGATGACGAATGGGACTTCGTCGAAACGTCGCCAAGACACTTCCAATTTTATGCGGGACAAAACCCAAACAACCAAAGACCTACATACAAACACCCGCGAAAACCTCAGAAAACACACACACACACACACACACACACACACACACACACACATACACACACACATATATATATGTCTTTGGTTATTCGGGTTTTCTCCCGCGTAAAATTGGAAGTGTCTTGGAGACGTTTCGACGAAGTCCCATTCGTCATCTTCAGGCTGGTGTTTTCGGCTTCGTGCTTCTAGGAGCAATGTGTGATCGTGTGTCAGTTAAAAGGAAGAAACAGCTACGATCACACATTGCTCCTAGAAGCACGAAGCCGAAAACACCAGCCTGAAGATGACGAATGGGACTTCGTCGAAATGTCGCCAAGACACTTCCAATTTTACGTGGGAGAAAACCCGAATAACCAAAGACCTACATACAAACATCCGTGAAAACCTCAGAAAACACACACACACACACACATACATACACTGGCACTGCCTACAACTGGCATTAGGGACAATTAAAAAGTGATAATTAAAAAGTGACTGCAGACTGCTGTTGAAATTGCAAGTTCCCTCCTATCAGCCCATCAATTTTGCAGTTAGAACTCTGCTGAAAGATTTTGCTGTTTAGCACCACGTATTATGAAGAGAAAAAAAAAACCTATGCTGATGTCATTCTGTTTTACCTCCTTCTTTCTTTTGGGCCTCTAAGTAAATGACATCAAGTGGGAATAGGAAAAAAAAGGTCAGAATTTGCACAACTCTTAAGACACGATGAGTGAGCACACACTTGTTTAATGTCAGCCAAAAAGAAACAAGAAAACATACAATAGCTAAGAATGTCAGCAAATAGAGAAAAGGATGGGGAAGAAAAAGACTATGCAATTTAAAGAAAAATTTACAAACACCAGAGTACTCAAGAATAATAGCGGGAGAGATTTAATAGAGGAAATTCAGTTAGGTTAGGGACTTTTAGAAATGGGAGATGAAACTGTTTACAAATTGAACTGTAGGCAGGCAAAAGCATTTTTAGCAGAACTGTTTTTTAAAGAGGTTTTTTTTTTTTTTAGAGAAATACAGTATTCAGTATTCAGGAACTTGTTTCCACTAGAAAACTCAATGGCACAATGGGCAACAGAAGAACTATCACAAAGAACAGTAGCAGGTTGAAATGAAATATAATACATTTATATGGCCACCCGTCTCATTTCCATGAGTCTTGGTGGCTCAGAAAAACAGTAGGGAAATGTTGTATAAATAAAGAACCAAAACTGAAAACAGCAGAAACAACATAACAATGGGTTAGAGACTGGAAAAGATCATTGTATATATCTATGCTAAAGAAGAGAGTTGCACGAGAAGGAAGAATCTGAACCATTGCAATACTTCTCATGCATACAGTGTTTTGAATAAGATATTGCACAGAAGAAAATATTCATAGTTGATGAGAGAAAAGATAAATGAATGGGCAGAAGGCCATGAGATCAGATATCTAGCTTTAGCTGGGTAAAAGAGAGAGCAAGAAGGTTTAAGGAGGAAATTAACCTTTGTTTATTGATACAGCAAGGCCTTTTGATCACATGGATCATGCCAGAATCTGGAATATATTAAGATTATGGATACCCACTATCACCGTTGCTGTTTGTCTTAACACTGGGAATACTGTTGATCAAAATTCGAGAATCACAGGAAATTAAAGGAATAGAAGTTAATAAAAAAGAGTATAAATTAAGAGCTTTTGCGGATGACTTGGTCATCACTTTGTCGCAACCTACTTATTCTGTAGTAAAATTATTACAGTTGATTCATAATTATGGTTTGGTTTCGGGTTTTAAGATTAATGTTAATAAGACTAAAATTCTACCTAAAAATATGACTAGTCGGGAGAAGCAGACTTTGGTTAATTTGACGTGCTTTGAAATTGTTAATAAGGTAAAATATTTGGGGGTGATG